GCATTCTGCCACCTGCTGGTCCCCATTTGTGTTCTTCTTTATATATTTTTAAGCTTATTTATAATTTCTTGCTTCCATGAGTGAGAGAGAATGAGAGTGAAAGAGAGAAAGAGAAGAGCTCGAAGATAGCACCCACAACAGGGACTTGATGCCACAACCCACCCCAGCTTCCGTCAGCCTCAAACCATGGCATGGATGTGTCTGGCATTCTTAGGGAGGTCTCTGGGTATGAATCTGAGGCTTTCCCATGCGGGTCAGTCTCACAGAGCATCAGTTTTCCCCATGCACCACTGCCTGGTCACCTCAGAGCAGTATTCTTTACAATTGACAAGAGCTGAAACAACCGGAGCACCGATGGACGGATGAATGGATAAATAACATATGGTATCAATACACAACACATGACTCAGCCTGAAAAATGAATGAAATTCTTACACATGCTAAAATACGGATAAAGCTTGAGGACATTGTGCTAGGTAAAATAAGCCAGTCACAGGGCCAGCAGGTGGCATGGCGGTTGGAGGTTGGAGGCACTGGATTCCCACATGGCTGACCACTGTTCGAGTCCTGGACCAGGTGGCTTGCTTTCTTGCTTTCTCTTTCTTTCTCTCTCTGTCTCTGTCTGGTCAAATTAAAAAATAATAATAACAAGTAGAATTAAATAAATAAATATTAAAAACAAAGAAAGAAATCAGTCACAAAAAGACACATGCTGCATGAACCCACTTACATAGGTATCCAGAGTATTCAAACTCATGGAGATAGAAAATAGAATGGTGGTTGGCAGGGACTAGGGGAAGGGAAATGAGGAGTTGTTCAAAGGCTATAGGAGCTCAACATTGAAATATGAAAACGTTCTGGATATTTGCTGGACAATAGAATGGATATATTTAACACTGCCTAACGATGCAGTTAGAAATAAGAAAGCAAGTTTTATGTGATGTGGGCCAAGAGGTGGTGTGGAAGTTAAGGTGTTGGATCTCATGTGGCTGACTCAAATTCAAATCCAAATTCTGGGCCTAGCAGCTTGAAAATCATGCTGGGTGTATGTGTGTACATGCCCAAAATCCCAAGAGGAGACTGGAGGAGAAGGGATTGCAGCGTGGCCATCCTTCCTAGGAGGTGATTTCTCACATTTCCTCTCTCTCTCTCTCTCTCTTTTTTTCTGTCTCCCTGCTTCTCTCTTATGAGCACACACACACACCCTATAATGAAAAAAAAAAGTAATGTGTATTTTCACCATAATTTTTAAAAATGCATTAAGTACTGTTTAATTATGTTTTTAGAAATGCTAAATGGTGAGATATTGTCATTTATCTGAGTTGAGATTATCTTTACTTGTCTTTTACTCTAAGGAAATCCTTTGACTTCTGTACCTTGACTTCTGCCTGTGACTACGTGCCTACTCATTACTTAATGTGACAACTGTCATTTAAGTCTATTCAGCAGATACCAGGCTTTTATATATGTATAATTTTCAGTGATATTCCAGTAGGCAAACTAACACTCAGCGAGGTCCAGTGACTTCTCCCAAGGTTATGTAAGAGATGGAGCTTTTTGACCCTAAAGTTTGGGTTCTCTCTACCAGGCCTTTTTCTCTACGTTTATTTATTTTGTCACATTGAGATCACATGCACATGCACAAGAAAGAAGAGAGAGAGGTTCCCTTAATGGGGTCTTGTCATGCCACAGTCCCCTTTCTCCAGTCTCCTCCACCCCACCACCATCACTTCAAGATCCTGGGCAGAAGCATAACCCAGTATATTTTCAAGCCAGCTGAAGATTTGAACCCATAGTTGGCCACATAGCTTCCAGCACTGCAGTTTAGTTTGCGACCAAAGGCATCATCAGGGTGGGCCATCCACCAGACCTGGTCTTCGTCAGGCTAGTCTTATCCTAAGAACCACTTTGGATACCTAATAAATTCAGATCGCGGACCAGCCCCTTGTGTGACATAGCGGTAACACAGGCGCCCTGCAAGGTTGGGAGCCACACAGCAACCACCAGTTCAGATGGTGGGCTGGCCTGAAAACATGCCCAGTGTACATGTGGGACCCAGAATGAAGAACCGAGGGACTGGGGACTGACAGTGTGATGAAATTCTATCAAGGATTTCTCGCTCTCTTTCTTGTGCATGTGTACACTATGTTATTTAAAAAAATCGATCCTTCTTGGGGATGGGCTCGTCTCTTCATTTTGATGAATTTTGAATGTGGGGATCTTGGAAAGAGCAAATTAACAAAGAGATAAATGAAAATAGGAATGTCTAAACTGACACGCTAGTGGAGCCTTGAAAAGGGTGGGGTCTGAAAGAGACAGAAGAGCAGAAGAGCTGATTGGGGAAATTCTATTCCGGGTTTACCAGAGCTTAGCCTACTCCACGCTGAGGCCAGAGAACACTCACGGCAGCCCAGGGGCCTGGGTCCATTGCCAGCCTAGAAAGAGGCCATCACAGACATCGCTGTGTATTCCCAGAACAAAGGAGGTTCAGGCAAGATGCACTAAGGAGGGAAGGGTGATCAGGGCCATGGGGAGAATGGTGGGTTTGTGTGTAGGAGAGGGACATGGCCTTCTTCAGAAAGATCAGAGGCTTCTGCAGGGAAAATAACTTGAAGGGGAAGAAATTGGGGGGGGGGAAGAAATTGGGGGAGGGAAGAACAAACCTGACACAGAGAGCCATGTTTTTAGAGCCCTTGTCAGGGCTTGGTGGTCTTGTCAGGGCTCGCATATGAGAGATGGTGAGGGAGAGTGAGGGGTCTCCATCACCAACTCTTCAGTTCTTCAGTGACAGAGTTCAAAGGAATGGACTATAATGGGTGAGTGCGGGGTGGGAGCAGTAATGAACAGAGGAGAAGGGGTCTCACATTTGCCAGGCCCTTCCCAAGACCAGGTGCTTAGAGCTGGCGGTTCTAACTGGCGGACTTTCGTCTTGTCCCTCAGTGCGGGGACTCTGCGTTCGTTGTTTGAGAGGTAAAACGGGGTCTGGGGCATTAGCCCAGAGACTGCTGAGGTGGCCAGAGTCAGAAAAGGGTAGAGGAGAAAATGACTTTCAGAGACTAGAGAAGGAAAATGTCTGAGTAAGCAAAGCTGTCTAGAAACCACTACTTTTTCCATTTCTGTATCATTTAACCAAACACCAATCAGTGGCTTATGTCACTTGATCTTCATGCTGATCTGGAGAATCAGCAGACCTGGGTCACTGCCTTCTCTAGGGCTAACTGCATTTCTTTCTTGTCTTTTCTTTCCCCTTATATATATATTTTTTTAATTGACGTATAGTAATTGCACAAATTTATGGGTTACAATGTGATATTTGATACATGTGTAAAATGTGCAATGTTCCAAGCAGGATACTCTGCATATCCATCATCTCAAACATTTATCATTTCTTTGTGCTAACAACATTCTAAATCCTCTCTTCTAGCTATTTTGAAATACACAATAAATTGGGACCAGCAGTTGGAGTAATGGCTATGTTGCTGAACTCCCATGTAGTAGACTGCAGTTCGAGTCCCAGACCCGGTGGCTTAAACTAACGCCTGGCACATGTGCGTGCGTGCCCAAAATCCCGAGAGGAGAATGGAGGAGAAGGGATTGTGGCATGGCCATCCGCCCCTGGGGGGTGATGTCTTGCTTTCTGTCTCTCTGTCTCTCTCTGTCTTTCTGTCAAGCACACACATCCTGTAGAAAAACTTCTCCAAAAGAGAAAAAAAAAGAAAGAAAGAAAGAAAGAAAGAAAGGAAGGAAGGAAGGAAGGAAGGAAGGAAGAGGGACCAGCGGGTGTTGTGGTGGTTGAGGCGCTAGACGCCTACATGGCTGACTGTGGTTTGAGTCCTGGACCTGCTTGCTTACTTCTTCACTTTCTCTCTGTCTCTCTCTGGTGATAGCAAATTAAAAAATAATAATAAAATTAAATAATAAACTTTAAAAAAAAGAAAGAAAGAAAGAAAAAAGAAAGGAAGAAAAACAGACATACACAATAAATTATCATTAACTCTAGTCATTCTGCTGCACGATAGAAGTTTGGAACATAATTCTGTCTAACTATTCTGTAGTCATCAACCAACTCTTCTCTATCTTCCCTTCCCTCTTCCCCTTCTCAGAGTCTGATAACCACTAACCATTCTCTGCTTCTATGAGATTAAGTTTGTTTGTTTGTTTATTTTTAGGTTTTGTCATAGGGCATGTGCACTCACTGGAGAGGAGAGAGACAGATACAGAGAGAGGAAAAGTGAGAAATTACCCCCAGGGGCATGACTACACCACAATCCTCTCTCCTTCCTCCTCCCTTCTCTTGGGATGTGCTCCGCATGATTTTCAGGCTCTCTGGTATGGTCCTCAAATCATGGTCGGCCATGTGCTTTATCCACCATGTGCCACCTGCTCGCCTTTACAACTTATTTTTTAATATATTCTAGAACTTGTTTATCCATTCATTCCTTGATGGATATTTAGGTTGAGTCCTTATCTTGGCTATTGTGAATACTGCTGCAATAAAGAGGGTGGGCAGATAGCTCTTCAACATGCTGAGTTCCTTTCTTTGGATAGATGCCCCATAGTGGGATCAGGCGAGCAGGGTTTCTAAGCTGCATGGGAGCACTTGTTGGACACAAGATGAGGGCAACGCATGTCTCTGTTTTCAGGGGGGCAGGGCATGGCCCTGAACTATTTAAATACTTGTCATAAATAAAATCCAGAGAGAGGCGGAAGGTGCAATGCATCTCTTCCAACTCAAGAAGACTGTCCCAGGGCCCACCTAATAATCCTGATACCCCACCAATCCCTCTAAGCAGGGGGGTGGGGGTAAGGAACCCTCCTTGCCAACCTCCTCTATCCCAGGTTCAGGGAGCCTCAGAATGCCAGCACTGAAGGAATAGTCAGACCTCAACTTTCACAGGAGGGTTGGAGAGGCAGGTGGCAGGGAGTGAAGGAGGCACCCCTGTATGGAATTTTCCCCCCTCAGGCCTTGATCTTTCTCAACCAAGCTCCCTCTGCAGGGACAGAAAGACATGGCCTGGAAACGGACACCTCTTCTGCTGCTTCTGACCTGGGTGGCCACCACATGCCATGCGCTAGGCAGGACTGATGTGCTCAATGTCTGTATGGATGCCAAACACCACAAGACAAAGCCAGGTCCTGAGGACAGGCTGCATGGCCAGGTATCTCAGTCCACTTTCTGCTGCTCTAACAGAACATGCCTGGGTACTTTATAGAACATAGACATTACTTGGCTCAGGGTTATGGAGGCTGGGAAATTAAAGGGGAGAACCTGATGAGGGGCATTTTGCTGTGTCCTAACATGGTGAGAAAGCATGTGTACACAAGACAGAGAGAGAAAGGTGGCTGAATGCAACCTTTTATCAGGAGCCCACTCCTGAAGGAACTAACCCACTCCTGAAATAGTAATATGAGGAGTAAGCCATTCATGTGAATGGAGCCTCCAATCTTTTTTTTTTTTTGAGAGTTTTTTCTTTTGCTATAGGGCGTGTGCACTCACCAGAAAGACAGAGAGAGACAGAGACAGAAAGCGAGAAATCACCTCCAGAGGGGATGGCCACACCACAATCCCTTCTCCTCCATTCTTTATTGACGCCCATGGGCCCACTCAGGAATTGGACATAATAATCCCTTGTGGTAGGTTAAGGGTGGGGCTGGGGTGGTTTCCTTCAAGGGTTTGGCGGGTGAGAGACTATAGGGGAGATGGCTCTTCCTACTCTCACTCATGCCAGTATTATGGAGTGCCAAACGTAAAAGAGACAGTCCCTTCTGACTGTGACACAGGGCACAGGGCCTGACCAAGGTCAAATCCTGGTCTCAGTGACTTAAAAAACATGTTGGGCACATCAGCTTATGTGTGCTCCCAAACCTAACAGGATGAGAAAATGCGGGGAAAAAAGTTGCAGTATGACCATTCCCCAGAGGGAGATGCTTTTTCTCTCTGTCTCTCTTTTTCTCATGAGCACGCACACCCCTGGCATTGTCATCCTGTTAGCCTTGATGTCTCCTTTCTATGACAAATATTTTTCAGATTCCTTTTTCTCTTCTGGAAATTCAAAACTAAATAGAATCTATTTGCATATATAATTTTAACAATACTGACATCATGCTCTACTTGTAATATTGGGCTGTCAGGAAAGTCATGACGTAATTGTTCTGTTTTTCTATGTCAAAAATGAGTCTTGACTTTTTGGACAACCCAATACAAAGGAGAAGCAAGCAGAAAGTAATTTATAATAAAATAATACGTATTTCAGTATGTCAATTCTCTGGTATGGCTACATTACAAGACGTCAGGAAAGGTCACGCACTTGCTTTTATTCACAGAATCATTATAAACGGGCAGTTACAAAAGAAGATTATACAGGTGTGTTATCGGCAACTTACACACCATAAGATATGCTAAGTGGTACTGTGATTGAGATATGATTTTTCAAAATAGTGCATAACGCCAGTATAACAAGTACATAATACAACCCGACATTTCATGGTACCAGCAGCCCTGTGAAATGCAGGCTACAGCAAAAATTTAAGAAAATACAATGTGTCTAAATGAACACTGGGTTTAGATGTAGGAAATCTTAAGGCTGTCTTTCTTTTTTGGGGGGGGTATAGAGGTTTTTGCTATAGGGCACGTGCGCTCGCCAGCAAGAGAGAGAGACAGAGAGAAAGACAGAGAGACAGACAGCGAGATGCCTGTGGGGGGGGATGGCCATGCTGCAATCCCTTCTCCACCATTCTCCTCTCAGGATCTTGGGCACGCATGCACATGTGCCCAGCATGACTTTAAGCCACTGGGTCTGAGACTCAAACTGCAGTTGACTACATGGGAGTCCAGCGACATAGACATTACGCCAACTGCTGGTCCCTGTCTTTTTTTTTTTTTTTTAATATTTAATCTTGTTTACTATTATTATTCTTCTTTAATTTGGTATAGGGCAATGCATGCCCACCAGAGGGAGAGGGAAAGTGAGAAAGCAAGTCACCAGGTCCTAGACTCCAACCATGGTAGGCCTTGTGGAAATCCAGTTCCTTAACCACCACACCACCTGCTGGCACCCAAGTACGTCTTTCGCTGTTTTCAGCAAATATTTTTTGTAGACATATTATATTTCTAGCACTGGCCAGTTTCTGGAGACACAAATCTAAATATGTTCCAAGGATAAGTATAATCAAATGACATTAGTGCATAGCCTCTCCTTTGTTCAAAATGTCACCTTCCCAGGCCAACTCAATGGCCTGATGGTTCAAGTGGCTGGATGACACATGGCTGACTGTGGCCCAGATCTCATGGCTTGAGAAACACACCAAGTGCATGTGCATGCATGTCCAAAATCCCCAACGAAGGGAAAGATGGAGAAGAGATTGCAGAGCGACCAGTCCCATGGAGGGCGCTTTCTCCTCTCTCTCTCTGTCTCTCTCTGTTGAGTGCATGCACCCTCTGGCTAGAAAGAGAGCGAGAGGGAGATCCTTGAATATCCATTTCTGTCTGTTTTGTTCATCTCTGCACATTCTCAGCATCTACAGCAGCGACTGGTGTAGGGTATGTGCTCAATAATTTTTTTCAACGCATAAATGAAAGGACTTTTTATCAAGAAGTAAGTGCTGTGTACATGATAGCTATTATCCCCAAGACAGGGTTCCCTTGAGTCCCCTAGCCTCCGGATCACATTGTTGTAATTGTGTCTCCCCCTGATATGGGGATTCCTAGAGGCCCGGAGGGGCCCTCACAGTGAGTGTTCCCAAGACAACTGCCTGGGGCAGGGGTGCAAGATCCAAATGGGGAGAGGTTGGAGGTGATAATGGGAGGACAGGGAGGATGGGAAAGGGAGGTGGGGGAAGGTGGGGCAGTCGTAGCGGGAGGACCCAGTCCTGTGCCTCCCCACCCAGTGCAGTCCCTGGAGGAAGAATGCCTGCTGCACGGTCAGCACCAGCCAGGAGCTGCACAGCGACACCTCCCGCCTGTATAACTTTAACTGGGACCACTGTGGCAAGATGGAGCCGGCCTGCAAGCACCACTTCATCCAGGACACCTGTCTCTATGAGTGCTCGCCCAACCTGGGGCCCTGGATCCAGCAGGTACAGGTGTCTTCCTCACCCACCCCAGCAGGCTGCCCTCCAGCTCAGCCATCTTCAAGGCTGTGGCTACTAACATCCCTGGCTGAGAGGTGCCCTCCGTCCTCCCTCCTGCCAGGTGGATCAGAGCTGGAGAAAAGAACGTTTCCTGAATGTGCCCTTATGCAAAGAGGACTGTCAGCGCTGGTGGGAAGACTGCCGCACCTCCTATACTTGCAAGAGCAATTGGCACAAGGGCTGGGACTGGACCTCAGGTGATGGACTGGGGCTGGGGAATTGAAGGTGAAGTATGGAAATGAGGGCGGGAGGTTTGAGGAGCTGGGGTTGGGTGAAGATTTCTGAGAATGACCAGAAATGAGCTTTAGGCCCAGGGTCTGAGTGTGTGTGTTCCTCATCTCTCTCTCTCTCTCTCTGCAGGAGTTAACAAGTGCCCCCCTGGGGCTGCCTGCCACACATTTGAGTTCTACTTCCCCACGCCTGCCGCCCTTTGCGAGGGCCTCTGGAGTAATTCCTACAAGGTCAGCAACTACAGCAAAGGAAGTGGCCGCTGCATCCAGATGTGGTTTGACCCAGCCCAGGGCAACCCCAACGAGGAGGTGGTGAAGTTCTATGCTGGGGCCATAAACACTGGGGCTAGGGCCCATGGGACTGGGCTTCTGTTTGGCCTGGCTCTCATGCTACAACTCTGGCTCCATGGCTGAGTCCAGTCCTCCCCAGGCCTCCCCTCTGCCTGCCCCCAGCTTGGAGTCAGCTCAGCTCCCACAAACAAGGGAGCCCAGAAAACCACCACCCATTACCTGTTCCTCTATCACCCAACTGTGCTTCATGGTGGAGCTTAGAGTTCCAGCAGCCTTCAGTTCTAATAAATAGACTGACACACTTGTGTCTGATGAATTCGTTTAGCTGTGAATTTGTGGGTGGCTGGGGGATAGATTCCATAGTTTTTGAACTACTTCAGATTAAAGCAGGTATACCTGCATTTGAATCCAACCTGCGTTTGAATCCCTCCAGCTCTACTATTAATGCTTTTTTGTAAGGGGCTGGCAGGTGGCGTGGTGGTTAAAGTCGCTGGACTCCTACATGGCTGACCATGGTTCAAGTCCTGGACCTGGTGGCTGGCTTTCTTACTTTCTCTCTCTCTCCTCTCTCTCTCTCTCTGCCTGATCAAACTGGAAAATAATAATAATTATAATAATAATAATAAATAAAGTTAGATAAATTAATTCTTTAAAAAAGGAATCAGCAGATGGTATAATGGTTACATCGCTAGACTCCCATGTAGTCACCTGCAGTTCTAATCCCTGACTGAGTGGCTTAAAACACACCAAAGGCCTGTGTGTGTGTGTGTGTGTGTGTGTGTGTGTGTGTGCCACAGATCCTACGAGAACAGAAGAGAAGGGACTGCAGTGTGACCATCCCGTCTGGGGAGTGATTTCTCACTTTCTATCTCTCCAGTGAGCAAACATGCCCTAGAGCAAAAACCTCTCTCTAAAAGAAAGGACAGCAAAAAAAAAAAAAAAAAAAAAAAAAGCATTAGGGCCAGCAGGTAGCCTGGTGGTTAAGGGTGCTTGACTCCCACATGGCTGACCTGACTGTGGTTCAAGTCCTGAACCTGGCAATTTGGTTTCTGGCTTTCCCTCTCTTTCTCTCTCTCTCTCCCTCTTTGGTCAAATTAAAAAAAATAAATAAATAAATAAGTAAAAATGAAGTTAATAAAATAATTCTTTTTTAAACCTTAAAGCAAAAACCTTTCTGCAGGCCAGCAGGTGCCATCGTGGTTAGGGGCACCGGACTTCCACATGACTGACTATGGTTCGAGTACTGGACCTGGTGGCTTTCTTTCTCACTTTCTCTCTCTCTTTCTCTCTTTCTCTCTGTCCCTCTCTGGTCAAATGTAAAAATAAGAAAATAAATAAATAAGTGAAGTTAAATAAAATAATTATAAAAATAAAAACCCACAAAACACAAAAAACCTTGTTGCCAGAGAGAGACAGAGACAGTGAGAGGAAAAGAGAGAAATCACCCCCTCCCCCAGGGGAGACAGCCATGCAGCAATCCCTTCTCCTTCATTCTCTTCCTTCTCTTCCTCTTCTCCTCCCAGGATTGTGGGTATGTACGCACACACGTCTGCCATGAGTTTCAAGCCAGGATTCGGGTCTGGGATTGAACCACAGTCAGCCATATAGGAGTCTAGTGATGTAACTGCTATGCCATCTACTGGCCCCCACTATTAATACTTATTACATGAAAGTAATACACGTTATTAGTTATTATAGTTGTTTCCCTGCTCAAAACCTTAGTTTCTTCCCCAATAAAATGGGCATAATTCTTCCCTCAGAGATGTAAAATGAAAAGGAGCTGCTGCCTAGAAAACGTGTGAGCCCAGTGTCTGCACATTAACAGTCCTCAGGGATCTCGCTGGTCCTGCTGCCCCAGTGAGAGCCAGGTTCAGGACTCGATATTTATACCGGTTCCTAAACAGCCACCTTTTCTCCAGCCCTCATCTGCCTGGTTCTGTGCTCAGATCTGTAATGAGAAAGCTTCAAATGAGAATCCAGGGCAGGCTCTGGATTCCCAGTGGTAGTGAAAAAAAATCACACTAACGTGCCGTGGACTAAAGGGCTCCTCTGGGACCCAGGTGGGGAAAAGACCATTCAGGGAGGGCTGAATGGGTTGCAGGTGTTACTGCAGAAGAACTGCTCAAGAGCCAGGAAGGGAACCAGAGCTGCTGTATCTGGGGTGTGGCTGCAAGAGGGTTAGGAAACCCTTAGGGGCTTCCCAGGTGTAGGAGCCAGGCCTCTCCTCTGGCACCTTTGTCTCCTCCAGGGATTGGTAGCATGTTTGTCTTGGAGGGTTGTTCTTTGTGTGCCTCCAACAGCTGGCCCCGAGTTGCTCTCTGAGCTATTCCTTTAGGAAAGACTTTGTCTCCACATCCCTATGGGATTGTCCTAGCCAGGCACAGGTACCTGTCTGAGAACACCCTACAGGTGGCAGGTGGAGCTAGTTGAATCCAGGCATACAGACTTCTAGAGAGGTTTCTGGCCTCCACATTAAGCTGCCCCCTCACACCAGGCTTACCTTCTCTCATTGGAAAGCTGACTGATGGGGGGAGGTGGACACAGATTGAAGGATGAATTATTGGGCTCCTGGCACGATCTGGAGACATTGTTGGGAGGGTGGGTGGAACTCTTGGTTATTACATTTATGTAGTCTGGAAGGCCCTACAGAGCCCCTTCCTTGTCCCAGGCTTTGTTCCAGCTGGGTTAAGCCAATGCATATTTAAAATAGAGGAAGGAGCTTGCCCAGATTGACCTGGCCTCTGTCAACAGGTTCAATTTAGCAAAGTGAAAGTTCTTTCCTAGGTTAAAGGGATCCTTCGACAGAGGCCCAAGAGTTGGCGGCAGTGGGCTCCAGGCTGGAGGCCTGCGCCTTTAAGGAGCCAGGGGGCGGAGGGGCGGGGCAGGAAGAGGACTCCCAGGAGACGCAGCCACCGGCTAGGTCTTTTTTTGGGGAGGGGCGGGCCAGACCCTTCTGCGGACTCCGCCCCCTTTCCGGCGGCCGAGTCCCCTTTCCGCCCCCGGCGGGAGGGCAGCCGAGGGAAGGAGAGGAGCCGGGAGGAGCCGGGAGGAGAGCTGGGGGCATCGGAGGGTACCTCGCCTTGCAGAGCTTGCCGCTCGGCGTCCAGCCCGCTGCGGCCCAAGTTTGTTGACTTGGAGGGAGTAGCTGGGGCGGGGGCGGGTGCTAATAATACCCGTTCGTTCCGCAGCCGCGCTTTACAGTTTACACAGCTGTCACCTTCATTTCTCCTTAATTAATAATAA